CCTTCCCCTCCCGTGCCTTCCCTCCCGTACCTTCCCCTCCCGTGCCTTCCCCTCCCGTGCCTTCCCTCCCGTACCTTCCCTTCCCGTGCCTTCCCTCCCGTGCCTTCCCCTCCCGTGCCTTCCCTTGCCGTGCCTTCCCCTCCCGTGCCTTCCCCTCCCGTGCCTTCCCTCCCGTGCCCGCAGCCCGCACTCACCCTGCGGGAGGGAGGGAGGGGATGGCGGGGCCGGGATGGATCGGGCCGGGATGGATCGGGCCGGGATGTGCCGGGGGAAGCGGGGCGGTCGCTGCCGCGCTGGGTGTCACGGGAGGAGCCGCTTCCGGGCGGCCAGAAGGAAGCACAGCGCTGTTCCAGTGCTGTTCCCGTGGGTACTGCAACAGGAACGCAGCAGTGTCTCCGCTGAGGTTATTCAGAGGATTCAGTTTTGCTTCGTACACGCAACAGTGTCTGGGGTTTAGCTGCGCGACCTTTTCCCGGACCAAAATCCCGTTCCAGAGTCCCTCTGAAGGCGCCTCAAAGAAGTCTTCAGAATCCTTACCGAGCACATGAAAACTTCAGAAGTGTTTTGAATTACCTTTACTAAAGAGGCCCGCTAATGGTTTAGTTTACATTGGCAAATGATATCAGAAAAAAGATGTTAGGTAGGCTTTACTAAAGCTTTATTCTTGTGTACCGACAGTTTGAAGAATTATGAAACCTTTAAGAATGAAGTTGTTCGGACTTAGAAGTTTGAATCACCTAAGCTACCTCCCACAGGATGTTTTCTTATTACAGATGGGTGTAGCAGCAGATGTTAAAAATAGTGAGACCACATCCTGCACCTCAGCTGGTCACAGAAACCATGACAAGCTGTTATTTCAGCTCCAAAAAATCCACAAAGAACCCTCAGCAGAACTGCCTGAGTGCCATCAGGATGAACACTCACCAAATATGTACTTACATAATGCCTGTGGTGCTTTAACTCGCAGGAAATGTTCTGGGATATAAACCCCACACATGGGACTGGCTGCAAAACCAGCAGGAATGGGAAATACTCGTGAATACCTTTTTAAAGACTTCCATGCTGGTCTGCAGAGACAAATTGACTGAGAGTATTTATTACCATACCTGTCAGGAAGTTAGCACACACTTCAGAGGGCCATGGGAGCTTAGCCAGCCTTCTAGCACCCCCTCTAGACAAGAAATAAGTCATTGAAATACTGTTTGTTACCTTTTACTATTTATACAAGCAACAGATTTTTTTTAAGCATAATTTATCCAGATATAATCCCTGTCACTGCACTTAATGCAGGTAAAAATTATAAGCTTTGCTGTAAAAAGTTAAATGTCATCATCATTTACAAGAGCATGTAGTGACAGGACAAGGGGAAGTTGCTTCAGACTGAAAAGGGGAGGATTAGATTGGATATTAGAAAAAAAAAAAAAAATCTTTACTGTGAGTTGGCAAGGCCCTGGCACAGGTTGTCCAGAGAAGCTGTGAATATCCCATCCCTGGAAGTGTTCAGGGTCAGGTCTGAGCATCCTGGTTTAATGAAAGGCATCCCTGCCCAGGACAGGAGGGTAGAACTGGATGATCTGCTGTACTCTGGGTGGGGAGAACCCCTGGCCAATGGTTTCATTCACAGCTGAAAGTAACAACAGCTTTCTCCACCAAAAGCAACTCTGCAGCTCTCTGGCACCTGCACAGATGTGCCTGGAAGGTAAATGCAGGCAGGAATCTCTTTTCCTCCACACCTCCATGTGAGGGGACCAGTTTACTTTAGCCTACACAGGGCTTGGGCATGCTGTGCTGCATGGCTTCTGCAAGGAATTTAGAAAAGGGAATTGATTTTGAGTCCTTTCTCCATTGGAGGCTGAGGCTTCACTGTTGGCTACACAACAAATACTTCTTGTAGGGCAGAAAAATATGTGAAAACAATGATGTTGTATTAGTTAATGTGAAAACTTTAGAAGACACATTACACATCTGGAGCAACTAGATGGGATCTTCTCAGGCAATCTGGAACATCTGTGCAGGATGCCTCATAATGGCAGCGCAGGAGCAAGGCTGTGATGGTGTATTTTTATATACAGCTACACTATACATCTGCTCAGCTTGAGGTCTGCTGTGATGTTACTCTTGCCAAAGCCTGTGTATCCTTTGGCTTTGCGTTCCCAGCATTGTCATTCCTGGTATGGTTCTGCTTTCCATGACAGGATTTCCTGGAAAAGTATCAAAGCTGTCTCAGCTCTGATACATTTGTTTGGCAGCGATCTGTCCCGCTCACTCCGTGAGATTTCAGTCACTCAGCAGGCACCGTGTCACCACTCCTCCAGCTCTGGATCTGGGAGCTTGACAAATGCAGCTCTTTGAAAAAGTTAAGAGATGTCATCATGCTCTGAACAAACAAGATGGGAGCAAGAAAATAAGTAAACTGAACAAGAAAAAAAAAAGTAAGTAAATAAAATAAAGTAAATAAAGAAACCAGAGAGTGACTTAGGCTTCCAAATTTATTCCCACTTCCTTGACTAATCAACTTGACCAAGCATTTACCTTGTGACACTTTTTGTCACCAAATGATCATTTTGAACTTCAAAATGATAATTTTGATCTTTGTAAATATGAACTCAGCTCATTAAATGACAGACAAACCCAAGGAATTTAGTGGAAAACACTCCTTTCTTGGGAAAGTTACAAAAGTAATCCTGATTCTTTTCTGGAGCTGTGAAAACTTTCTGTGTTTATCCCTAATTTATCCTTAATTCAGCCTCCTTAGCCTGAACCTAAGGATATTTCCACACAGGATTCATCTGAGACAGACAGGTTTCCTGTATGTGTTTCTGTTTTGGCACAGCTGTTTCATTTTATTTCCTGGAACTATGCTGGGGATCACTGCTGCAAGGGGCAGATGCAGCTTCTCCTCACTGGAACATTCAATCTCAAAAGCCAAAGCGAGAAGGAGGGAGGCAAACCCCCAAGTTTACATGCAACAGAAAGCAGAAGAACCAAAGGCGTGGTTGGTTTGTTCTCTTGACAAAGTTGTCTAAAATGTCTGTCTCAAAGCCTGTGTTTCTAAGCCAAAGAGTTCTGCAAGAAGCAGGGCATTACAGCAGGTAGAGGTGAGGCAGAGGTGAACTCATGAAGGACACAGCTCATGCCGGAGGTGCTGCTCATCCACCTAGGAAGCGGCTGCAAGTGCCCAAGGTCTGGAACGTTGTCCCTGTGCTGCCTCAGGGACTGGTGAGCCAGATTCTTCAAACCATGGAGAGTCATGGACAGCTGACAAGGGTGATGGGTTTTCTTGAAGCGTTGCTGATGTACAGTCTACAAAGCCCCATCAGCCTGGCCTCCTGCTGGTCCCTACTGTACTGCTAAGCCATAATTTTTCCCCTGGTTCCCATCCAAGGGCAGAGGCCGCTGAGGTGCACAGGGGTTGCCCAGGAAAATTGGAATGCAGGAAGTGAGACAAGGACAGGAGCTATCCCAAAGGTATCCCAAAGCGGTTGGTGCCGACTGCCAACCAAAATAGGGGGTGACAAAGGGCTCCCTTAGTGAGCACACAGCTCCTGTGCCACTGCAGTGGAGCCTGTGCATGGGATCACCCCGGTGAAGCTCTGCATAGTCCAGTTGGAAAAGAACCCAGACATGTGAGAGTTCTTCATGAAGAGTTTTGCTGCTAACCAAACCAGCTCAGGTTTGATGCAGAAGTCTCTTTTGGAAAATTGTAACCTTTTCTTCTACTGTTGTTGCATTATTTTTGAAGTACGATGCAACCCTCATAAACAAAATAAAGTCTAGCTCCTAATAATTTTTGTTCATATGTACAAACCCCAGTAAAAAAAGTTGAACACAATATATACACTTGGAAATATAATCCTGGAATACGTGTCAATAACGTGATTGTTCTGTAAAATAATCCTGCCCACGTTTCCCTTCAGAGATCTCTTCCTCTTCAAGCGGGGTGTGTCAGCATTGGAGATGTTGGTTTGACTTGCCCTGGTCTCATTCTCCTCACAGGGCTCTGGGAAGGGACTCAGGTCCATGTCCTCATCTGTGTCATGGTAGCAGCCATCGAAAGCCATCGCTTGCACTGCATCCATGCTGTACATTCCTGAAGCCTGGCAACAAAGGAGAGTTACTGTGTGTCTGGCAGGAGCCATTGTGGCAAATCATAAATGAATAAAACAAAGATAAAGAAAGCTTTCCCCTCAGCGTTGTTCTCTCTGTGGAGAGCATGTGGAGAACAGTATCGCTCTCTGTGGGGCCTGCCCCTTGAGTGGGACATGAGCAAGGAAATGTCATCAAATGTCATCAAACACACTTGTCTGCCTGATTATTGCCAGCTGCTGGCTGGCAATTCGTGCATCAGCTGCTGAAATAGAAGAATCTAACTCTCTCCTGTAGGTCTGTGTTGATGGAGTTGTGGGAAATTACTTCAAACATTCCTGGGAGTAAGTTTTTGATGGGATTATCCAATCATGTGAGCAACATATGCATTCCTTCTGTGCTCTTTCCCTTATGATATTCCAGCAAATGAGTTTAAAGAGGGGACATTCTTCAAGCAAAGGTTTTAAGTGAGAGTTTCACAGAAAGCAGATGTTTAACTTGTGACTATTTCTGCTTCAGGTACACTTGTCTAAAAACGACCTTGTCATTCATCTGGTCTTGGGACAAAAAAAGAAACAGGAAGCAGGGAGGAATATCATATGAGGGCATGCTGAGGTCTATTTCAGAGACAAGAGAAATACCTTGATTGACAGGTATTGGAAAATAGAAGGAAGGTTATATTCCTCTGAGGGGAAAAAAGGGGGGAAAAATATCCCTAACCTCTGCCACAAGAAAAAGGAGAGAAAGCGCAGATCTTTCAGGAACTCAGAGAGGAGGACACTTTGTCTCTCTTCACCCAGGTGAAAAAAAAAAAGTGAGATACAGAGTGGAGACAGAGATTGTTACTATTCTGTTATCACAGTGGTATATCAGGACTACTCTGTGGCTTGCATGATGCTTTCATAAAGCAACAAGACACAGAGGGTTGTACCTTGCCCCTTTTTTTGAGTTGTTTTCTCTCTTCAATTGTGGTGAGATAGTTCACTGCTGCATACTCGATGACTGACAGGAAGACAAAAAGGAAGCTGATCCATAAATACACATCCACAGCCTTTATGTAAGACACTTGAGGCATTGAGGCACTTACTCCTGTCATGATGGTGGACATTGTCAGCACTGTAGTTATACCTGCCAGAGAGAAAAAAAGAGATTACCACAGTTCTGGCCAGCTGGTTCTGTTTAGCTCATCACCACTGCTTGGACAGCAGAGCTTTGTGAAGGGCATGTGATTGACACCCCCTTTAACTCCCTCACACAGGCTCTGAGAAGTGGAGTGAACCATGAAGGACCCATCACACACAATACTGAGAGCACTAAATCATTTCTCTGCTCAGAATGGTCATTGAGCAGCATAAGGAACACATTTCTGTGACAGCTTTGGGCACTACCACACACAGGTGAAATCTGTGGTCATTCTTCACTTCCCAGAGCCAGGGCTGCCACTGTGTATTTTCTTGTCCAGGAAAATCACTGAAGAATCACCATTTTCTCTCCCAGCCTTTTCTCAAATTGTACTTCTTGAGAACAAATATCAGCCTCTATGTCCCTGTCATAACTCCACAGCTCTCTAAAAACAATCTAGCATAAAAATGCTACAGCCACTGAAACTAAGAAAAAATTATCGTTTGCCTCAGTGTGACCAAAATTTCACCCTCATCTTTTCAATCTCTGCTCTTACATCAGCTATTAATCTCATTTTGGTTTGCTCCAGCTCAGGAAAAAAAAAAAAAAATACCAACACCCAACTCAGGCTCTGCTTTTAAAGAAATCAATGTAACTCTGGAAGTGAAAACATCTTGACATCTGTGAGACAGCACTGTCAGCTGCAGCCCTTCTCCAGTTCTACACCAGTTCAAGTTCACTGGAATATACAACAATTTTCCCTTTACCTCTCTGCAGCTTCTTTAGTTTGAAGGATGGAGCTTGAAATGCACCATATAAGAGGAAATCAATTTACTTAATGTACATATACTCTAGGCCAAGGAGCTAGGCTAATAAACTTTGTTGTTAAGGTTTTCCTATAAATTATGTATGATTATGCTAATGAAATGTGCTTTATTCATGGAACTCCTGATGCATAACCTTCTGCAGAAATCCATATATAAAGAACATGATCGGCAAAACCATCTTGACAACATTAAAAATTGCCTACTGAGAATTAAAAAGTTCTTTTTAAAGATGAAGTTAAATTTCTTCTAAATAAAAGGAATGCATAGATTAATAAAAGTAGGTAGGAGGTACCATAATTTGTTTACAGATTAACAAAGAGATTTATATCTCATGTATTAATAGCTTTAGACTGTGCCAATAGAAAGGGACCTGAGTGGCTACCATCCTATTTTTTCTAGATTGATATAGTTACAGAGAAAAATCAGGGCTTTTTCTCTTATCTAAGAAATATGGCAACATACAGTTAGCTTCTGGGATCAGCATCAGTAAAATAAAATAACAGGAGCTTCTTTATTTTAGGCTGACAGTTGCAGGACTCAGGTGCTTTATGGTCACTCAAGGCCATCAGCATTATATTCACAACAAAGACAGTCTTGGAGTGCCATCCACTGATTCACCAGTGAGAAGAAAAAAAAAAAAAAAACTTCTATAAAAAACACTGTAATAGGTCCTCTTCTCCTGAGCTGAGGTGCTCAGAATTTACTTTTTGGCTTTCACAGATGACTGTGTGCCTTGCACAGCTAAGACACCAAAGAAAACATTTCTAAGGTGTCCCACAGTGAAAGGCCTTGGCACACAGACAACTGTTTCCAAGTTGGTAGGAAGATAATGAATGTTTCTTGAGAAAAAGAGGAGCTGCAGAGCTTTTCCATAGATTGGGCTACACCTAATGATCCATGGATTTGGAGAGGGATCTGACTGCCTGTGACTTTGCTGGGAAGAGGAAAGGATAACCAAGGCTTTGCAATTAAGTAAAATTCTATCAGGAAATCTGCAGAATCATCCTTTTTTGCTTTTGTGGTGTGCGAGCTGTTTCCAAAAATAGCAAAGCCAGTCTGAACAAACATCCCCTTTCCAAATGTAGGTAATGACAACAGAGGCAATAACAGTGTTGTTCAGGCAATTATTTTTGCTCATGTCCTGTGTAAATAAGCTAACGTTAACTGCAAACCCTTCCCTCTTGATTCTATCCTTCCCAAAGAATATACAGCAAAGATTTACCTAATGACACCCTGGCAGGAACAGCTCTTCTGTCAATCCAAAAGGAAACCCAAGACAGCATCACCATCAGCATGGCTGGGAAATAGGATTGCAGCACAAAAAAGAAAATATGTCTGCGGAGTGCAAAGTTGATAAAAAGTCTGTTGTACCAACCTATTGGGGGAAAAAAGGGAGAGGAACAGGTGGGGGAGAAGAGAAGAGAGCTGTGTTACTTGTGAGCTCTGTTTGCTGGCCCCTCCTTCTGACACGAGTGGTATATCCATAGCAGGAGCAGTAAATGCCTAAATGCCTCAGAAATCTTGCCAGCATCTTAGTTTTACACAGTGCTTTACAAACTGTCCATCCTCCCTTGTTTATGGGAGCATATCTAAAATACTCTGTTATAACTGAGGTTGGAAAATTGAAAAAAAATCAAACAGACTTGTAGTGAAACTGCCAGGAGAATACAGACAGGATAAAATTGTCCAGTGATGCCAACACTCTGCATTCCCTAAATTACCTGATAAGAAGCAGCCCTTCCTTCCAACTTGGGGTTGTTTTTTTTTTTTTTTTCGTTTTTTTGGGTTTTTGTTTGTTTGGTTGGTTGGTTTTTTGGTTTTTTTTTTTGTGGGAGCCACCTGCTTGCCGGCCCAGTACTCACTTTAGAGGACAGGGTGCCATCTAGTGAATTTTGGGGCATGCTCTGCCTCTGCAGCACTGCATTCGTGCTGTACCCTCTGCCACAGCAGGGAAAACAGGTTTCAGGGAGGTAAAAAGGCAGAAGTGGATGGCTGCACAGCATCTGCCTGTCCAGGACAGACAGAGGCATTCATGAGCCTGTGCTGGAGCAGTACTGCCATCACAATGAGTGACTCTATAGAGAAGGACATATCAAAATGAACCTCAAATAATATTAAATGTTCTATTGTGTTTTCAGTGGTGAAGAAGATTTTTTTTGCTTTAAAAGATTATTGTCTCTAAAATAGATTAAAATTGTTGCTCCTCTGGAGGTCTGGGAACTCCAAAACCTAAATATCACAGGTGTTCACTGAGCTTCACAGGAAAGGACATGCAGAACCTGAAATGCTTTGTGGGAATGATGACTCTCATTAGAGTGATGCTGTTTGTTCTCCACTATCATTTACTTGGAGGGTAAATTTGCTTCCAACAAGAAACAAGAAAACAAGAAAAAGTGGAACCTCCTGAACAAAACAAAACCTCAAAGCCAAGCATAAGCCCACAAAGGACAACATTCTGATTACCAGATATGCTACAAGCATTATTTAGGTACTTCCCAGTGGTCCCTGGGACTTAGAAAAAAAGTCTTTGCTTTCACCCTTATGCTGCTGAATAAGCTCACCTCAGAACCTCTGCATGTTAAGTGTAAAGTTACACTCTGCAAAGTCAAAGATGCTGTGAGAGTGCTGCAAAGCCCTGGGTGCAGGGGCACTGTGAGGGTGCCCTGCTGTGCACAAGGCTCTATTTTCTTGCCTCGAGTGTTTTTTGATGAGAATAGCAAGGCAGAAAGAAGCCAGATGAGTCCCTGGAACCAGTCTGGTGGAAAATATCCCAGTCTCCTTCTGGCAACAAGGACAAATTTAATGTAGCTCTCAGGAAGGCACAGTTATAGCAGGGTAAAAGATGGAGCTCTGTTCTTAGTTTATACAGGAGCAGGAGATAAGGGTGAAGAATCTTATCAAGCTGTGAATTCCTCACTGCTCTAGTCTGCATCATAATTTAAACTGGGATTCCTGCATTCAGTAGTAGCCACCACAAATCTGAATGGCCGTCTTTTGAAAGCAAAAAGAAAATAACCTGTAAATAAAATACACCAAATAAATCTGTCTGCTGCTTTCCTTAAATGCTTTTTTCCAAAGAGTCGTGCACTTCACCATAATAAATGGAGTAATTTCTCTCTTATTCATCTGTTTTGATATAAAGGACAATAACCAAACTGAAATTAATTTACTCAGACTGTAAAGTACAATTGCAATAGTGCTGTTTTCTTTGGTTAAAAACCCATGGTTAGACTACTTACATAGAGAAGTGTTTCAAAATTTATCATTTTATGTAGAATACAAGGAAAATAAAGTCCACCCTCCATGAAATCAAGACTGCAATGAACTCCTAAAGCCTTGTGCAGTTTGCCAGAATGTATAGAGCAAGATCTACAGGGAGAAATAAAAACCTGTCTGGGGAAGATCAACCTGAATTTAAACTATGTTGCACTGACATAAAGGGATTTTTTTCCTGCAGCTTTATGTATAAACAAGGAAAATTAAGCAAATCATGAATTAGACCTGAACAGGTAAGAAATAGCCTCATTTGAAAATCCTCCAGTTAGCAGACTTTTAGTGACGTTACACAGCTTCAAAACTGAAGATATTCTAGCACACTGGAATTCCTCTTGTTTGCTTTCTAGTATCTGACCTTTTAGGATTTCCATTTTCAAGCTTTTCTGTATAGCCAGGACATAAAGATTCCCGTAATATCAATACTCCAATGGCTTTCAGAGAAGCACCATGATTTTGCAAAAGGTCATAACAGCACATTTTTGGTGGTTGTGCATTTTTTCCAGGTTCCTAATGACAGATACGAAGTCACAAGTATTATTATGGCCTTTTTTCCCCTAAAATAAAGTTTTATATTGCTAATGCAAAGAGAATCAAGGCCCCAGACAAGACCTTATTTTAACTGATCTCTCAGCAGCCACTGTCATTTATTAGCAAAGAATTTGAAAGACATTCTACATTATTTTGCCCTGTGCTTCTCTCTTTGGAGGAGAGGGGCTTACTGTACCAGTACTGCTGTAAAATGCAAGTCCACTGGAAGCACTGAATTCCTCAATGAAGAACTGGGAGAGGGAGATGTGCTCATCTGTGCTCAAGGATTTGTTGCCATGTTTCCAGTACAACATCAGATCATCTTCATTGTATGCATCTGTGAGAGAGCAGAAACTGAAGTTGTAAAGTTACTAAAGTTAATATCTCTTCCTCTTTCCTTTCTTAGGGAGAGAGGACCACTCAGCCAATCTAGGAGAGGCCCAAAGAGACATTTTTTCACACCAATTTGTCAGCTGGTATGGAAGAAGTTGGCAAAGACCATGTTCCATCTTGTTCAAGTGCAGCCCAGCCTTGTGCCCTGCCAGCAGCTTACAACTGAGGCAGGGGTGAAAAAGGAGATGTTTCACAGTAACACAAGCACACATTTTCATTTTTCCAACAAGTTAAATATTGACATTTTATTTTACTTTTAATCTACACTTTTTTTTTCTCTCAGATTAAAAACCCTTGTGCTTTTTGACAGATTTTTAGATTTAGGCCTTGGAATAAATACCCAGTGGGAATAAAGCAGGGTGCATCATAGTTTTTCCATCTTCCCAAAGCTCACTGAGGTCTGGAAAGATCCCAAATTGCCTATAGTTCAATATGTACATGCTGAAGGGTTCAGGTCACACATCAAAGTAAGTGGAAGAGGTATTATGCACATCATGAAGTGCTGGTAAGAATGCACATGTGAAGAACAATTAGGAATTAAACTTACAGCTTTCCAGTTCTAAAGAACAGTTCTGTGTGTCCAGAGGAAACCTACTGAAATCCATGAAGCACATAGCAGAAACAGTTATTCTGCAGAAAAGAAGAGAAAAGCAGAAATAAAATAAAAAATTTCACACTTTCTCAGCTGTGTACACATCTTAGTACCAATCTGCTGTTTAGAACCCTATTGATTGAGGCTTTCTGCCCTTTTAGAAGCTTCTAAAATAGCTTCAAGGTGGTGAAATAAAGTTAAATCGGTGAGAGATCATATTAAAAAAAAAACCCCAAAACATAAATAGTCTTTATTATTAAATACATTACCTTTGATTTTTAAACTCTATATTTGGCCTGATCCTTCATTAGTCTTTCACACATTTTAGTTTGAAAGTTTACACTTACAAAGATTAAGAAAGGGAGTTCACATTTCTTGATTTCTCATAGACTGAAGTAGATAATATTACAGATTAGAGAAAATAGTATTCCAAGTGTAGTTTTCCCAGCTGGAATGATTATAATATTTAATTGTAAAAAGAGATTTCAATTTCTGGAAGCTTACTCTCCTCTTAAATGAAATGCTTTATATTGCAAAAAGCTTAAGAAAATCTAGGCAAAGCCTGTTTGACATTCCACCTGCTATTTCACAAATGTTTAGAGGACAAATATCCCTTTGTATTTAATAAATAACAAAAAAAAAATAGAACTTTCTAGGGCCAGCAATTTGAATATGGTAAATATTGCCAAATTTTCCTTTCCTGTCACAGCTTGCATGCCATTTGATGTTCATTAGTTCAATTTTTCAGTTTTGCCCAAATGGAATCCTACAGGAATTTTAGTGAGGGTTATACAAGTGCCCTTTGAAAACCTGTGCTCAGTAACCCCACTGTAGCTGAACTTTTACAAATATAAGACTTTAGTGGCTTGAAATGAGATCCTAAGAGTGGGATATGCATAGGACTTCCAGCTATGGATGTTGTTTCCAGGCTTCAGCTATTGACTAAAGGACCAGGAGAACAAAAAGAAAAGAAAGACTATTTTAGCAACAGATATGGATTTTGGTTTCACTTTGCTTCATTTAAATCCTGGATGTCAGGCACTGAAGAAAAACTGTGAAATATGCAGATTATATTCCAAATACATGTAAATATTTAGAATATAATTTACTTACTACATGTAAAACTGGAAATACAAAAACAAGGTGTTTTAAGGCACATCTAAGGAATATTTCCTGCTTCTCTCTTGGAGAATCACTGATATAAATCTTAGTGGAGGGGTTTAGTTCCTCTGATCCCTCCTTCTCAAGAATTATGGAAATTAATACAACAATAAAAAGCACACTTCACCTCATTGTTTCTTACTGTCAGTGTGACTCTTGAACATACACTACTTTAAAGTGGTGCACAGTTGTTGTTGTGAGAATTTCTGCACATCCTCATGACAGAGGAGATAAATTCATTAATTGTTGCAACAATTATTACACAGCCACAATCTCAAATGCTTCCATAAATCTTCAGACTGTCCAGACTGGATGAAATATCACTTCTGTGCTCAGAGTTAATTAGTACCAAACTGAATTTCTGCAATGCACAGGCCTCAGGTTCCTTACCCTAGGGGAAAAATTGCTCCATTAAAACTACTTCTGCCACATCATCCAAATCTCCTTCATCAAGCAAAGCAATAACATATACAGGAAAGGGAGACACATTAACGACCTTGCTATTCCAGTTCTGGAATTGCTGTTTCACGCTCCAGTTCCTTTTAGTCCCACAACACTGGTGGTATCAGCACCAAAAATTTGCTCTCTGTGTCTATCTAGAGCCCCAGTTTGTATTACTGGCATGTTAACTGGTAAGCCAGGGTGAAAATAGCTGAGACAGTTTCAAAAGACTCATGAAAAAAAATAAAACAACTAAGACCACGGTTTTTTTCTTTGTTAATAATTTTGGGCTTTACTGTATTCAGTAGCAATACTACTAGAGCAAGGCAAGGAACTAACACTTGATAACTCCCTTGACAGGAAACAATATCTGAATGATAGAAAAAATACATTTTCAAGCCTCGATTTATTTTCCCACTGGCACACCAGTTTCCCATTATGTGCTGCCAGAGGATTAATGGCAGCCCAGTATGAGACTCTTACCTGCAAGTATTTCCAGCCATTTCAATTACAGCCAATACATGACAATTGCAGTCATGGATTTTCTTAGGGAAGGGTATTTCCTCACCTCAGACTGAAGAGGACGTTGCCATCAGGGTACACTCGGAGCATGATGTTTTCCACGGTTGTATCATGGATGAAAGATCTTTTGGAGTGCACAAAAAAGACATCAGGTACCCAGATCTTTTTTATCAGCCGTCCATCGAAAGTCATACTTTTGTTTTTGTTGCTACGGAATGAGAGTCTCTCATCCTTCCAGTAGTGTCTGAGATATAAAGTCATTGTGAAGTCCTTTGTTTCATTAAAAATAAAAGGAGACAATTCTAATTTTAGTCATGTGCAGTAGAAAACACTACAAATTAATCAATTCAATGCAAAGGATCAATTTCTTGTCTGCACATTATCTGAAAGATCCTTAATGAGAGGAACCAAGCACCACTCAATGACTTTGAATTTGAATATTAATGAGACTTTGGTTGTTAGTCTTGTCCCTGGTGTCTGAGGCTAAGACTTCATTTTTCCTTAGATAAAACTTCTACATATTTCAGTGGTCTGCTGGATTGGTCCAGCTGTGCAGTAATAAAGAAGCTTCAAAAACAGACAAGGGTAAATGGAAGAAATATTTCCTGTGGAAATCTTCACAACCTTCTCCAAGAATGGACTGTGGTTCCTTTAAGGTTCCTTTATGAACAGATTGCTTGGAGTTCTTCATGAGCACTAGGTCAATTTTTTAAATCCACAAATCTGTTCATTTTGTACAAATATTGTACAGGGGCTAAATTAATACATTCATTAATTAAATGCATCATAAAGAAACAATGTAATGAATATCATAAGAGTTAGCAGTTAGATTTTACAATAATTACAATAACTACATGATTCTTTTAACATAAAACATTATTACAAATATTTTATGATCCTATTTAGAGAAACATCACGACTGCACATGTGGGAAGAGATGGAGAGGATGTTGCAAAGCCAGTGTGAGCTTCTGCACAGCCTGACTGCTCTGTGTTCACCTACACAAATTTTGTATTATTAGGCAGACACCATTTATCTCAGTAGAACAATTGCTTCTGGTAAGAATACTGAGAAGAGAGTTAGATCTTCCCCTGTAATAAGATTTTATAGCCCTGTAATATGATTTTATGATTTGAGTAGGTTTGTAAAGGAGTGCAGGAGTTCATACTGACAATATTAGTGACAATTTGGGCTGAAGAATGAACAGCCTGCATTCCAGTACCACAGGCCCTAATTGCAGTGTCTCCTTCCCAGGACCATTTCTGGAACTGGTGTTTCTCTTTCCATTTGTTATGATCACAGCTCCACCCATGCCACAATTATGGAATATTCAGATTTGCATAGGCAAAAGAAGCAAAGGACATGAAGCCTCATCATGCTGTGTGCAGAGTTACTGAGAATTCCTGTGGAAGCCCAGGGTGAACAGTTGGAGTTTTCAAACCAGAGCACTGCTCACTCTGAGCTGTTCCTCTCGCCCAGGGAGAAATTCAACACTTACTAGTTTAAATGCATGCTTCAAGGCAAGGATGTGCTCTTTAGGGTTTGCTTTCTTTAACTACATTAGTCTGTATCAGCCACCTGGATGTTCATGAACCCCCTGTATTTTTACTGAAACCCTTTATTGCAGTTCTACTCACCATGTCAACCTCAGATATGCTGTCAATGCTCTCCACCTGCACATCAATGCCCACAGGTATTGGTGACCCTGCATGGGAACAAAAAAGGCATGAGGAGCAAAACTCTCTATTTTTAAAGGGAAGACTGCAGCACTAGCAGGATACAGAGAGTACTCTATCCCAACATTTACTGCAGTCTCTCCACCTTAAAATACTGAATTATAAAAGGCAACAAAGTAAAACCTGATGCTAAGCAGTTTTGAAATAAACACAAGATGTTCAGTGCTCTTTTTGCAGGTAGACCAGCTGGTTTTGGCACAGCATTTTGGCCAGCAGTGGCAGTGTCTTTGTCATGCCACAGCTTATGAACCCCTTGAAGTGTAATTCAGAACCACCACAGGGAAAAGCTGAGTAAATACACGGGATACATCAAAGATTGCAAAGCTTTCTTACCACTTCCAATCCTTATTCACAAACAGCATACTTATTATGACTCCTATTATCTTCAGTTAGTGAACTGTTTAAGGTTTGGTATAGCTGTTCATGAAAAAGCATTTGTTTGTTCACTACCTCACAAGGGAGAAGCTGTACATACACACACATCATGTTCTGTCACTGTGTTGTGTATTTACTGACTGCATTTTTAGGATGAAGTTACTCCAAATCAATTAAAAATTACAGCCAAATATGAAATTATTCCCACTCTTTTCAGTGTGAAATATCTAGAATTAAGGATCTAGTTCTACGTGGGTTATGTCATTCCTCTAACTGATTAATCACTTCCTTACAGGGGAGGAAGAGAGGAGCATGCATATATGCATATACACACCACCACCACAAGAATATTCTGCTTTTGGCAGAAAATCAATAGTAATTATTGTACATGAGATTCCAATCACTTTTGTCAAAAAGTGCCAGCTAAAATGTTTTTAAAGTACACATTCCCAATAACCAGTTAAGAACATGAATACAAGGAAGTCTGAACAGCAACAGATTTTCTAACTTGTTTTTTTCTTGTATTTTCCTTTTAGCCCTGTCAAGCCAAAATAGTACAGGAAAATCACTCTTGTGATAACAAGGCACAATATTGTGTCCCTTTCTGGAATTATCCTTAAAATAGCAGCCTTCGAGGATTACACAGCTGCCTCCAGTTCTTACCAGTAAAGATCTTGAACTATTTTAGAGGTATTTTTAAATCTGGCTCTGTAATCTCTTGATTTTGTCTTTTTTTAATAGGGAGTCAGTCCCTGCACAGACCAGATGAAGATGCATTGTGCATGGGGAAGCAAGGTGCAATGTGCTCAGACTTAGCAGGGCACACCAGAAGATATTTGGGCACTGACAAGAGCTGGGCCCTTTGGCTCAGAAATTGTGTCTCCCTCTCAGAGGAATGCCTCCCTCAGCCTCTTGGCCAAAGCCCAAAATAAGATTCAAGACTCTAGAGAGCAAAGTTTGTTAGTAAAACACCAGGCAGTGCTTGGGGAAATGCAGCTTCTTCTGGAGAATATAGCCAGCAAAAGACAGCTGCTCCAGAGGCTGATGCACAAGAGTATCAATGGATATATTCAGTCAGATTCCTTCATACAAAACAATAGAAGACTTTATACCTCTCCTAAACTAGTTTTGCTGACTTCTTGCTTTGTCTTGATCACAACACACAGTTTACTTACATTAAATATCAACTTGTACCAAACACTGGGTGTAATCTGAGTCATCTTTTCTGTATTCAACTGAAATCTTGTAAACTAAAAACAGGTTTAGTCGAAGTAGAGATCCTTGTGGAATTTACACTTGATGTGAGCAACGTTCACAAAAGGCATTCACACATCATTAAATGCAAACAACAATTTATATTGAATTATGGGGGTGGAACAGGAGGAGAGGGGGAGCAGCTCTCAACGTCAAGAAAGGTTTTACCAGTTCCTGAGTCAAGGACAAGTTTAAAGCAAATAAAGTTAAATGTCTCTCATCAACATTCTTCAGGCAAACAAGGAGCTACACACAAATCAAATCCCAGAATCAGACATCTGACTTTCTAAGCCATGTCTCATGTGTAGTCAGCAAAAGGCTTTTCTTAGTGACTGCTGCTCCAAGTGTGATGATAGCAGTTCCAATTTTTTTTGGAATTTCAAAAATCACAGACAATTTCTTACCCAAACAAACATTATTCCAGCGTGGACAAAATTTTCATCAACAATTCAGCTCCTCTGGGCAGATACAAAGGAACTGATGACAGAACTAGAAATCGGTGGCTATTTATGGTTATGTTGGTTGCATGAACCAAACCAAGGTGCCACTTATCCATAAATACACACAGGGACACTTGATTCTTTGAAAGGACAGCTTGTACTGCACTGGGAACTACTATGAAAACATGTTGGTGGTGACAATGAATAGCATAAAAGAAATCAAAACCTATGACCAGGAGAAATACAGTGAACAATTCTAAAGTGAATTGAATAAAAAGGGAATTGTTACAATTAAATTTGTTTCTGATTAGGTAGAAGTGTAAGGACTGTGAAACAGACTGCTTGAGAAGAGATTCCTCTTCCCTGTCTGAAGAAAGACAAAGACTTTACTCATGATACTTATTTACGAAACACTGTCCAGTCTAGCATTCACCACACAGAATTATAAAAGCACATCCCCAGCCCCGATCCATTACTAACAAATCAGAGCAGCTGCAAATACTTCCTTCCTATTCTGACTCTACTTTGGCAACAAATGTAAGTAGATAATAAAGCCAGTACACACTGCACCAATATTCAGCCCTAATCACTGCGCTGTTCAATTTCCTAATCTGGAGCACTTCTATATCATTGTCACTAACACACCAACAAGAGACCTATTGGCCTCAGTCTGCTCTAATCCTTCATGGTTTTTGGGAACATTTCTGCATGTGATTAAAAATCAACTCCACTAGAAACAAGAATAATTAGCTATTGGGAACAGGCTGCTAGGAACTTTAATTTCTTCATCCCTTAGATTTGTTTTGTCACAAGAGGATGTTTTTATAAAAAAATATAATTACAGCAAGATTTGAAAAGGTTCCTAAACCAGCCAAAATAGGAAAGCAATTCATCTACCTCTGTGTCTGCACCACAGCTTTCTCCCTGCTAGATTGAGAATTTCAATCTATGGCTGACCATCAGACAACAGCATCAAATTCACTTAAAAAAAAAAAAACAAAAAAAAAAAAAAAAAAAAAAAAAAAAAAAAAGGCAACCAGAGCAAAGCTGTGGTTTTTATTTCCCAGTTTGACAAAACTGGGGATGGCAGAGAGGATTTTGTTATTAAATTGAGCAGCTTCAGTTGCCTCTGAAGGGTCACTACAAATCATTATTTTAGAGGGATTAGTGATTTTCACAATGGAGGCTCCACAGATTTTCAGGATAATTACTCCTCAGCAGAAAAAAAGAGCATTGTTTTCAGACAGGTTTAACTTCATGCAAGCCATTTCCAGTCTTTTATTTTAAAGGTTTAAGCATAGCAAAAGAATTTCTTGATGAGCATGTAATTTTATTAATAGATAGTACATCAGGCAAATTCTGTAATACCCTTTCTAGAATGGATATTATGTAAAAAGGCTATCCTTTTAGCATTTTTAGGATCAATTTCCACAGTAATAATGACTGGTTTAGTGAATGCTATAATATTTTTATAATAGCCAGATCTTTGGGCACGCAACAGATTGCACCTGAAAATCTATTGGATAAATATTGAACTTAGAAACAACTGTACCCAGTTGGCTTTGTAATAGTATATGCTGGAAAAAAAAAAAAAGGATATTCTAGAGAAAACTGCTGGTAGCGGAGAGAGACCAGGGGAGAACTAAGGTCTGCAGGTGGACTTTGTTCTCAAAAGAGGAAGAAAAGTGGATAGAAATGTAAACAAGCTCAAGGGAGGTGAAGCTTTGTGGATTTATTTACTTTCTCCTGGCAATGACAGGAACAGAATTACTGGCAACAGCATTTTCCTCTTGTTACTACTGTGTGTCTTTCTCATTTATGTAAGAAACGAAGGGGGGGTCTGGTATGAGCAGTAACCAGATCTTAGAATGGAAGATTTAGCTATGTGAAAGGAAAAAATCCAGAAGAAGACTATTAGAGATCTTGCAATTAATCAATATATTTCCCCTCCTCTCCTGTCCTGGACCCCCAGCTACTCCTTCCAGTGAGAGGTAACAAAAAGCCATTCCACTTTCACCCATGTGAGTCTTCACCACAGGGAGAAGAAGACATTTCTCATCTTTCAGGGAGAGCTGTGGTGCAAAATAGAAAAGAACTTGGTGGCAATGAGCTGTTAGAATTGCAGCAATTTTGAAGATATACTGGGCCATATTTTCCTTCCTTCCCCCCCCTCCCCTTTTACCTTCATATGAATGAAAATGTTACTAATTTATTTTGAAGAGGGAGGAAGCATAAGAGGGAGTGATAGAATGAGATTTCTGATCCTCTGAAAATTCAGAATGAAGATTATGTTTAATTGCAAATTGAGATGCAAATTTTCAGGAAAGACTGTTACCTCTTCACCAGCTAAAGGCTGCTAGGTTATTTTCATCATTTCTAATACTTGCTTATGTTATTATCTTCTATATTGATTGAAAAAGAAGAGATCATCAATTTTAAGACTTTAACTAACACATTTGTAGTGTAGGAAACTACAGGTCCTTAAGACACAATGTAAAAGAAAAAACAATATATATACATATACATACATACACAAATGCATACAACACCATGTGTCATTTTGACCACTACTTTGAAATAAGACAGTTCAGAAAATAAAAGTATATAGATAAATAGACATATAATAGGGTGGAAAAAGTAGATTTAAAGCATTTCTAAGGATTTGCTCTAAGACTTCTCTCAACATGGAGTTTTGTCTGCTATGGCAGCCTGCATTGTGGCACTCAGATCTGAGCTTTACAAGTCAGGATACACTGAGAAGTCTCATTCATTGTCCGTGCTCACCCTTTCTTGCTGAGTTGAGGATAATCATTCCAAGAAGTGCTGGCAGCATAATTTCATTTCTTACTTTTTCTCCACTCCCAGTTTAAGCTGCCTTCTTACTTCCAAACCAAATAGAACCATGACATTACACAGAAGACAACAATCAAACAACAACCATAACAAAAAATTTAGGAAAGGAAAAAAACACCACCAACTTCCATCAACAACTCCAGAGCCTGGCTTGGGGAGTAAATACAATGCAACAATGACAAGTTTAGATTTTTAAAGTTTCCGTGTACTGAAATGTTGGTTTGCCTAACTTAACCTCACTGTATAATGAACTGCAAAGCAACATTTTTAAAGAGTAGGATCAGCTTGCCGTCAGTTTCTGGGTTTGCTTCATCTCAGTGCTCTGTGTTTCTCTGGCTTTGATCTCTGCTAATAAACGGACAATGTCAGGACTAAATTTTAAAATTTACAGTAAGAGAGTCAAATTCTGATTGTGCAGCTGCAATGGCACTGCAATCAACAGAAGAATGCCAAAATACACTCATATGAATGGCAGCAGAGTGGTGTTCATTTGGTCAAAAATGGATCTCTCACCTCCATAATTATTTCCAGTAACACTGCAGCCAGTAGCATCAGTGTCCAACAGTTCTACATTTATTTCCCCCACGTTTTTCGTTTGATCAGTTTACAAATCAAAGTCAGCATGTGTTCCCTCTCTTTTTCCTTTGTATAGCTTAAATGTAGGTACTAAAAATTCTGGGTCTTGTGGTCTGCTCATTTACCTTGCATGTGTGGGGCTAAGTGAAATCAAACAAGGCAGACAAATTTAAGAGTTCGCTGAACTGAGGAATCTCCAACAGCATGAATTTTTCTGCAACCTTTTCTCCTAAAATGGTGCCGAGGGTGATTGTCCTTCCCAGGCAAAGTGGAGACAGATTAACAAAGTCTGCCTGTCAAATTAACAAATTCGAACTCCCTGACATACTCAGAAAATCACAATGGGGTATAGAAGAGGGGAAAAAACCCATCCTTCTTCTATAGGTAAAGAATAAGTACTTGGTTTTCATCCAGCTCTCCTGATCTGTTTTGTTGTTGCTGTTGTTGTTGCAAACTGATGCGTTGTGCTGAGCTGAATAAATCATGTGATGTGGCATGTGACAGATACAAGCCCTTCATGAGTCACAGTACAGAGCTGCTTCATTAAATTGGATGAAAACAAACCCAACATTTCACCTGTGCTAACTGCACAAAGCCACAGTGCTGTAAATCTCAGTGCAGTCCAGGGTTATGTTGTAACTGCTGTGGCAATGAATGTAGCAATGATATCTCTAATTTCTCTCTCTCCTCTAGGTAAGTTTCCTCCTCCTACTCACTTAATCATCACTGTTCTTCAGAGAAACCCATGCCCCATGTCTGCTGTCATAAAATAATCTCGAGGATGTTATTCAGATTCATGTTTCAGTAGAGAAATTTGTCCACTGATGAGGTCACAACTGTGTGCTAAACCTCTGCTACTGCCTTATGAATGCCAAACCACTCCTTACTACTGCAACACCACTGAAATCAATGGTAAAACAGGAACCCTGGAGTATAAATTTGGGATTGACACTCATTTCACTGTGACTTTTTTCACTCTGTGCTATAAAAATGCCAGTGGATCTGTTTTAGTTTAAGAGAGATTCACATTCCACATATTAAGAGCATTCTGAAAATTTGGAAGTGTGTGAAGAAAAAGGGTTTCCCATGTCATTGTGGCATGTGGGTGACAGAGGAGAAGCAGAGCTGAGGCACTCCTCAGCTGAAAGCTATTTCTGAAAGACAGGAGGAAAGCTGAAATCACAGCCAGGGCAATGTGATGAGTGAGAGGCCTGTGCAGTGAAGTCAGTGGAAAAACTACAGCTGGCTTCAAGAGGAACTGAATGGGTTCTGTGACGAATCATCTACAAAAAATAAAAAGGACAAGGAGAAAAACCCTGGGTGTGAAAAATCCTCACTGCCCGTGGAAAATTAACAACTGCCAGATCACAGGGTATGTTCTCAAAGCTGCTTTTAGGTACATTATCAATAGTGTTTTCTGGCATGACCCAATGATAAAGGACATCCCAAACCAGTGTCTGCTTTCATGGAAATGCTACCTCCTTTCTGAAGTGGCATTCTCAAAAATTTAAATTCCTTGTGAGGTATCAAGAAGATGTCCATATTAACCAGATTAACAGATATTAGACAAGACAGGTATTAAGCATGAGGAGGTAATCTGAATTTCTGTTGCCAAGAAACAGACTGTATTTCAACTACTGTTCAAAACCAGGCAAGGTTTTTGCTGTCTGACAAGACATCATTTTTATGGTAACAAGAAACCCTTTCCCATTCTGCCAGTGCATCCAAAGACTCTTTCCTTACCCATTCTCCCTCTTGGCATGATCAGCAGGCCCCAGATCCCAGCAGCTGGTGTCAACAAGAGCAGCTCCCCAGACTTCAGCTTGCCTCCCAAATCTATGTTTGTCTACACAGCTGATTATTGGTTCTCATAGATTTTATTTTGGCCTCATAATCCAGAGCAGTTCAGTCTAATTTTCCTGAATCATGACAAGGGAACTGGTGACGCAAAGGCTCAGAAAAAGCTTATTAGTGGGGCAGCTTTCTCATTTTCCCTTCCATGAAGGAAAGTCAAAATTGAATCCAAACTGTGAACATCCCACTGAATACTCTCTTGATCCAAATGCAATTTAGTTAAATGAACAAATGATCATCATAGTGCCCAACAAGACAGAAACAACATCATAATAACCTGAAGGACTGTGAGTAGTTTTTTGGTTTGTTTTTTTTTTGTTGTTGTTGTTGTTGTTGTTTTTTTGGGTTTTTTTTTGTTGTTGTTGTTGTTTTTTTGGGTTGTTTTTTTTAATTTTGTACACAGAAGATTTAGGAACTGATGGATCATTTCAATCTCTCAAAACAAATCTGATGACTAAGTAATTTGCTAAGTAATTGCTACTACTAGACCGTGCAGTTTACAGGGATGCCTTAATCACTGTTCTCAAAGAACCTTATTCTAATACTATTTTTTCCTTAATTCTGTAAAGCAGACAATTCGAACAGTTTCTCCTATTGATACACTAAACACAAAGAAGCCCCTTGTCTTTGACTATTTCTGTATTTCTTCTTTATTTCCTGAAGTACAACAACTGAGCTGTGCTCCCATTAAGTTTGTTATTCCATTTGAAATTATAAAGTTCAAGTAAACTTCCAGAGAGAGGATAAACTTTTACCCAGCACAGTGCAGGCTTGTGCTGCCTACCTCCAAATCCAGGTCTCAGTGCAAAGTCATGGTCCTCTATGTGAAGAAGCTGCTCAGATTTGAGTGGTCGGACCTTCGTGCTGTCAAGTTTCCTCATTTTAATTTCTCGTTTGCTATGTTAAAAAAAAAAAAGTGAGAAATTTAATTTATTTCTTCTGTCCTGACATTCGCAGCGCTAGTCAAATGAAATAGGGACTTGGGAATACTGGACAGCTGAATCTGGAATGTTAAGGGTAACAACTGTGCTAATAAAGCTAGAGAAAGATATACTGGGAAAGGTTGAGAAATGAGGTATGAGGCAGCTCAGGTTCATGAAGAACACCAATTACTTATAAGAAGTCCCAGGAAGAACTACTAGATCCTTTTCTCTTTTCTTCAGAGATTGTAGTTATCATAATACAAGAGAATAGAGCTGTTTGAAGTTATTATTCACATAAACACTTGCAAATCAATCTTGGAACTAATATCATATACCCATGGTTTAACCACTTCATACATTATCCAAACTACAGAGACAATTATTCCTTTTATTACAAATGTGGCTTTTTTCCTAGGAGCTCAAATGAGTCAACAATTTTTTTAGAAGGACTGAGAAAGGATGATCCTGGATCTAGGGACTTGCAGGGGGACTGGCTTTAAGTGGAAAGAGAGTAGGTTTAGATTGGCTGTCAGGAAGAAATTCTTTTCTATGAGGGTGGTGAGGTGGTGAGGCCTTGGCACAGGCTGCCCAGAGAAGCTGTGGATGCCCAACCCTGAAAGTGTTCAAGGCCAGGTTGGATGGGGTTTTGAGAAACCTGGTCTAGTGGAAAGTGTCCCTGCCCATGGCAGGGGGGTTGGAATGAGATGATCTCATGATTTTCTGTTCTACTGTACACATTAGGAACACATTTCTCACAGAAGCGTTCTCATGGTGAGAACAGTGAAACATGGGAACATATTGCTGGGGCAGCTTTGGAGACTCCTTTCACTCAGGCTATTTTAGAATAGGTCAGACACTTATTTGCAGGAATGACTTGAATACAGCTGCTTTGCCACAGGCGAGGGACTCTCCCTAGACACAATTTCTTTCATGCCTTCTGTGATTCTCTGGAACTGTGCTGCAAGCAACTCTAATTATTACTTTTGACTGAACGATAGAAATGTGTTCTGAAGATTGTAGTCAAACACTGCTTAAGGCAAGGTGTGGAATACTTCAGGATAAGGTGTATACCTCTATTTACTTATTTTTGTCCTCCCTCTCACTTTTTTCTTAATCAAGAAGCCCAAGATATTACTTTTACATTACAGGAATGATGAGGTGGCTGCTGGGCTATCCAGAACTGTTGGGCTTGAACAAATTCATTTACCTTAGTATTCTTGAATGTCTCAGGCAATGCCATCTGAATCAAATTACCAGGGTAATCAGAAGGTCCATGAGGCATTTCAAATACAGACTTTAAAATCATGTGGATAGTGAAATAAAAGCCCACGCTTCAGAGAATTAAAATCACCACAGATCAAGCCTGCATCAGGGTAGAATGGGCAGCAGAACTGAACAGCTGCAATGTTCTACATGAGGAAATTCTGCTGCTTGGGATTCTGTAGAGAAGAAAATGATGAATTTTGTTCAGAATGCCATGGCACAGCTAATACAGTTGGGAAGCACGAGGTTATTTGTCATTTGATGTGCCTAGGAAAATGCCTGTTTGATGCTCCGAGGATTTCACTGGAAGAAGCAGGCTGGAAATGATTCATCTATTACAACTTCTTGCTAGAAGCAAGTCTGTACCTGAGGAAGACTTTCCCTGGACAAGAGAGGCAAAACATAAGCTACCAGGGCAGGAATTCTCTACTTAATAAGCCACTGGGAAGATATCCTATGAGATTTTAAACCACAAAGCTATTTGGAAGGAACATGGCCTGCTAACTGGTCAAGGTAATGAGCTTAAGCATACTGAACAGATTCTTACACTCCTGCAAAGTATTTAGAAGCTTGTGGAAGTAACTATCATGCATTGCAAAGGTCATCAAAAAGGGAAAACAGCCACCAAACTGGAAAATCACTTTGCTGATAAAGCAGCAAGAGAGGTTGCAGAAAAGGGCGTTCTTGAAGTGGTACCACAGAAAGAAATAGATTTGTTGGAGTTTACCCCAAAATATGATCAGAAGGATCACAAATTAATTACGTTTCTTAAGGCTGAGATCAAGGAAAGTGGGTGGGCTGTTACCCTGGCAGGACAAGTTGTAGTTCCACCCCTGCTCCCTTTGAGAAATAGCTCAGCAGAAGCATGAGAGTACCCACTGGGGAGCAGAAAATCTTTTAAAACATCTGAAGAAAGTAGTAATAGGGAGAAGAATGATTGATATTGTACAATCTATATCAAGCAAGTGTGAAAAACTTTTGTAAAAGCAACCCCAACACAAGCAAAATAGTTGTGTTAGGGGTAACAAAGACAGGAGATCACCTGGGAAATAACTGGCAAATAAAATTTGCTGAGATGCCACGCAAGGAGGGATGCAAATATACACTGGTACTGGTGGATGCCTTCAGTGGATGGCCTTAAGCTTATCCCTGTTGCACCAAACCAGCATGGAAGTAGTGAAATCTTTGCTCAGTTGTAATTCCAAAGTTTGGGGTTCCTTTGGGAATGTCATCAGATAAAAGACCACATGGTAGTTGGGGAAGCTAGCAGGATTCTGGGACTTATGTGGGACCTTGTAAGATCCCCAGCAAGTAGCAAAATTGAATGTATGAATGGGAGCCCCAAACCCCAGATTTGTAAGACTTGTCAAGAGATGTCCATGACATGGGTTCAAGTCTTGCCTACAACCTTGCTGAGAGTCTGCATACAGCCAAGGCAGAGGGACACACAAGTCCCTATGAGTTATTATATGGCAGGTCATATCAGGTTCCATATGTCCCTGGGGAAATGCATAGGAAAGGTAAAACTGATTTGCAGAAGTACTTCATGGCTCTGAGCTCCATTTTGCAGAAGCTCCAGAGAATCATCGTGTTATCCAAGCCAATAGGATTGATCTATTCCAGCCTGGAGATTGGGTCTATACCAAGTGGTGAGATAGTGACCCCTTGCAAGCCAAGTGAAAGGGACCATTCCAAGATTTACTGACCACCCTCACTGTGGTCAAAGTTGCTAGCAAAGAACTGTGGATCCACTACTTCAGAGTGAAGAAAGCTTCTGCTCCCAAAACCATTAAGAATACAGAGACTGGTACAAATCAGGAGGAGGTGCTTTAAACTGTTTTTTACATGTCTGTTTTCTGCCCAACTGGTAACCATGAGTCAGGGTTCGCTCTGTGATTTGTACAGGACTGCAGTCCAAAATGTATCCAAAGTTCTTAATAAGAACAATTGCTGGATCCATTACCACCTCTAGATAGGGGTGGTCACTGGCAATTGATTGGCATTTTAATGGAAGAGAAACATACTAAAAGGTTAGAACCAATCATAGTATCCTTCTGCCCCCTATACCCCTGAACAGCCTGATAGAACATGGGAATTATACAGTTCCCTGTGCTGTTGAAAACACCACAGGAAAGGCCATTCTTCCTTCACATTGTCATAAAACCAATTTCAGAGAAATAATCAGCCCAAAAGTTGTGGCACAGATGAAACTGAGAGGGTGCAGACTGGCTCTTCCAGACAGGATTTTATTGGATATGTGATGATCAGGCCTGGAAAATCCTGCCTGTGAATAAAGATCAAGCTTGTGCCCTTGGGTCTGTGGTCCTGAATACAACAATATTTGATCATCTTGAAAAAGCAAATGGAAGGAAGAAAAGATTTCTTAATCCTCTTACTGAACATCCCACACTTTTCCATAACATAGTCAGAGCTCTCCTTCCCTCTTACAGAGTGGTTGAACTGCAGAGAGGGATTGCAAACATCTCAGCTGTCATTGAATGTATTGAGCAGCATACATGCTGCAGATGCAATTTCAGCCTTACAGGAGGAAGCTGACAGTCTGTCACGTACAGTGACAGGATAGCTCTCAACTTCTTATTTGCTCTTATGTAGACCAAAGAGAGAAAATTAAGAAGGATGTGAATAAAATTTGGAAGGGGACTCCAATTTTACATGAAGTAACTTTCAGAAACAACACCTTGAAATTTGGCCATATCGTCCACACCCTCACGTCATGGTTACCAAACTGGGCCTGGATAAAAGAAACATTTATAATAGCTGTAATTATAGTTATAATCTGTGTAGCAGCCTTTGGGTCAGCCGGTTGTGTAAACCAGTATTGTGGGTAATGTAGATTAGAAACTAGACAAAGTAGAGCCTTGTTAGTCTCTAAAATGAAAAAAAATTATGCCAAGATGATTTTTTACCTTTTCTCTTATATACCTTTTATATGTTCTCAGTATTCTTAGCATGCATGCTTGTAATTCTCCTTCCTCGTAGAAGGAGGTCGGAAAGCCCAATGCTATCCTGACAGACCAAGGCAGCCTCTAGAACATGTCCTGTAAACTGGAGATTTGGCCCATCCAGGGGGGAATTCCTCAGATGGGGGGATATCACGCCATTTATCCAGGCCTCCCATTGGGGCATCCTTGTTAGATATGCTAATTTGTAAGGTCTGTAAATTGTAGATGTGAGCTGTCATGTGTGTGCATTGCGGCACATCCTGCCTTGGTGAAATGGTGCACCATAGGGATCCTTATTAAAACACTGAGGTAAAAACCCCTTATCCCTTAACCATGTCTGACTGTCAGTTTTCTAAGACCAGATAAAGGCAACAACAGAAGCACAGCAAAAAACCCAGATTATATTTCAGTGGCCTATTGATTGTGCAGCTTTTAGCAGCACACCATGGTCCAGAGATCTGAATGGAGACATGGATTCTGCACATTCATGGTATGGCAGATGTCAGGCTGTGTTTAAGAGGAGAAGCCCACACAGAATCCCAGAACCATTTAGGTTGGAAAAGACCTTTAAGATCATCGAGTCCAGCCATTAACTCAGCCCTGCCAAGTTCAGTGCTAAACCATGTCCCTAAGTCTACAAGCCAACATCTCTTAAATACCTCTAGGAATGGTGGGTGAACCAATCCCTTCCATGGACACCTGTTCCAGGACTTGATGTTCCTTTGGTGAAGAAATTTTTGTGAAACCATTAGAAAACAGATGCACCTAAAGACAGGAAGTCTGTCTTTACCTAGCTGTGGTAGTAGTAACAAAGAGAACCCTGGTATTGATGTAGATCTGGGCAAAGATAAAAAGTTATTTGTCTCAGTGAAGCACATGCTCAAGAATCTACTGTTTCCACTCATAGCTGTGCTTCCCACAGCTGTATTTCAGGCAAGGATTTATATTATGTAAATTAAATGGCAATCTATAATTACATTCCAAAAGAGGTCATAAAAAGCACTTGAACTGTTTCAGATCACATGGGGAATTCACTCTTGTTGGTACTTCTATATTAAATAATTGGGAGCACTAACTTTTTGGCTGAAAAAGAGTGAGGAATACTGTTTTGACTTTCCCACCAATACTCTTGCATGGGCCTTGGTATTTGCCAGAGATCTCAAAGAGCAGTCAGTCACTGCCTACAAAACCAAAGCAGCTAATTCAGAATTAATTAACAATGGACAAAGATGTGTCAGGCTTTTAAAGACAAATTTAGCTGCTCCTACCTAGCCTTGAAAACCATTAGCGAATGAAAGGTCAAAGGTCTGCTCAAGGGTACTTAGATAATTTTTGGTTAAAGCATTTAATCACTTAATGCCATCAGTGTAGCTCCATAAACCAATAGCATGAGTGGTTCATATCCCATCTGGTTGTCTTTAACTTACCAGGCTGTCAAAAGTTTATGCTGGTTCAAGGAGGAATTGGACAAGTTAATGGAAAAAAATCCACTGCAGATCACTGTATCTGCAGAAATTACATCCTACACAGGATGTCACTGGAGGAAATCTGGTGACTTGGTACAGCTGTGAATATTAGGGGAAAATATCTTATTTGCCCTGTCCTTATTCATGCTTTGTGCTTGCAAGCCCTTGTTATAAACTCAGTAGAGCACAAGGATCCTGGGAAGATCCTGCTTGGCTGTTCTTCTTTTTTAGAGCTCTGCTAATAATATGGTAAAAATTCTTGTAAGAAAGTAGAGAACCCTACCATCCTTTCATATTCAGAATTAAACTAGCTAAGTTTATGAGAAGAATACTATTAAGGTGCCTTTTGTGAAAAGAATATGCTGGATGTCATGGCCATAGGTTTCTTTCCAGTGTTGTCTCCCCAAGATACTTTGGCTACTATTAAATCAAAAGTATCCAAAATGTAGAATTTACAGAAATCTTATTCCAAGGGGAGTCTGTGGGGTAATCCAGCAATGTGAGCTCTTAAATGTTTAAATATATTCATGAAACCTTGAAGCCCAGATAAATGAAATAATCAAATTCCACAGTTCTCTCTCATACACATAAAAATGCATTTCTGATTGTTCAGTAACATCAGCAATATGTACTAAGAAAAAAACTAATATTTTGGCCATCAAATGTTTTGTTCTTTGTTGTAGGAAATGGACCATGAGAATAATCGCTTTCTCATGTACTTTTGGTTAATGCTTTAAAATCTTCTTTACAGGAGAATGCAGACAAACAGCTTTGGAGAGAGAATTGGGTTACTCTATTAAAACAGTGGAACTTGTAGGTTAAGTAACATTTTCACATGGGATTCTTTTTAAAAGGCCACCCATTTAACCAAGGCCATCTGTCAGCTGTGTCCCTAATAACTCTAGTGCTGGCTGAAAGATTGCTCCCCAGAAAGAAAAAGATGCTGGTGGAAAGTCAGACCCTGATGCAATGTACTGGAGGATAATGCAGCCTTTAGAACAAAAGCAGAGAATGAAACAAAGAGAAATTAAACACACTTGGATCCTTTGCAGAGAAAAGCTGATTTGCTGCTGTTAAGCTTTGGGAACCCCTGTGGCTCAGATTTTGCAGTCTTCTTCCCAGCTCAAAATCACCAGGACTTTGGAAATGAAGATGTGGGATGCCAAAGCTTGCATTGTACAGAGAAAACTGCCACACCAGGCAGCAGCAGATGGATTCCTCCTTGTTTCTATTCTCTCTTTCTAATAACACACTTGTGCCTGTCTCACAGGATTGTCACATGGATTCATTTGCGTGTACCAGTAAAGATCTGCCACGATACAAAGGACACTGTGCTAACACTGGTGTTGCAAGAGGATTGTCATCAGGATGCCACAAAATTTCCTGTCTCCTACCACCAGGTTTCCCTCCTGCTTTGTGATTTTTTTATGCCAATGATGGAGCAACTGCTCTCAGCTAAGGCAGAACAGGATAAAATGCAAAAAACAGCAGCAGCATATGCTCCACTCTTACCACAGACAAAAGTGTAGCAGCTGAGCTTAAGAGACCTTCCTTGCCACTACCACTAACAAGGTATTTTACTCTGTTTCCATATGATTCTTAACTGCTGCCTGACACTGGCAAAGCACCAGATGAAATCTTATGTTGATACAGTTGATAATCAATCTTACATCAATTCTGTTTATTTTCCTTTGTTATTACAAATAAATGTGCACCAACATTCAGAGTTTTGAAACAGCCTTCTGAATAGCCATTCTTTTAATGAGCTTTTGGTTTGCACCAAACTTGGACCCCTAACTTTGAACAGAAATCCAGAAGTCCTGAGTGACACAGCACTTCTGTCATGCCATCTGTTACCTTGCATTGCTAAACAGGATTTTATCAAGACTTGAGGGGTTCCAGAGATATTTCACTGCTGGAGCATTGCATGAGGAGTGATACAGGAGGTTAACAGATGCACACCTGCTGAAAATCATGCAACTTAAGGGGAAAAAAGGCAGCTTAAACACATCAGAGGAGTCCACTTTTCTTCAAAATGTGATATTGTACAAATAAACTACAAGCTCCCCTGCTCATTTTAGTAGGGGGTCAAGCACATTTTAAAATCTAACACTTGTATCCCTTCTCCTTCCTTAAATGGAGCTAGTTACCCCCAAGGAAGAGGAATTCTTCTTGGATTATCACTGGAAGCCATTAGTCTGTTCACATAGTATTAGATTAATCTAGCAACAGGTTGAGAAACTCACTTGGCAGATGTGAGCTGCCTTCCTGGAGGAAAGCACTGACACTTTGCCCAGAAATATACAGGTAAAAACCTCTCAATCATTATTCATTTTTAACCAGCTACTTGATTGAAAGGCCAAGAACAACGACAATTTCCAATGTCTAAAAGCATTAAATATATTCCAGAAAGGGAACACTGTGTGTCATCACTACAAATGAGGTGTCATTCACGTCATTTAGTGCCATTAAAAAGTATTCTGTAGCTTTATAGTGTAGCTACTCTGATCTTTAGGTAATGGAAGTCACTTTGTAACATTGGCATAGAACTTTGGAAGGCATTTCTGCTTATTGTGATGGGAGTTAGAGGGCAAACATCTGGAACATGACAGAAATAATCTGGCAGCCGTACATCACACCAGGTAAAAGAGCTGTGTGTAGGTGTGGGTGGGTATCAGACATTCATAAAATCACAATGTGAAAGGTATGGTTATGAAAAATTACTTAATACTTCACCATTTCTGTTTTGGGAACATCCTACCAATACTATGCAAACTATACCTAGAAGCTGGAAAAACAGGACAGTAAACCAAAGGGATATGCTGAAAGGTGGCTGACAGCATGAAGTTTACCAGATGAAAGAAACAGATAAAGTCTATTTCTTACCTGTTATGTTTTCTTGAGAATGACATTTGCTGCCGACGATGAAGACGGTGATGCTGACTGTGAGAACTGTGTAGCACTGCTGTTGGCCATAGGCAGGTGAGGAACAGAAGTTTCATGACCAGGACCATCTCTTCCAAAAGAGAAATGTGCCTGATCATCCAATCCACCTTGCTGACTTCTTATTTGTTAGTGTTTTTACCCTTTAGAAACAGCATAGCAGACAAAAGATGCACGTGAAGCAAGGCATCCCTGAAGAGAGAAGACAGGGGCATCCCAGTTCTGATGTCCTCACCGAGTTCCCCTTGTATTTTGGCAAATCAAATATTCCTTCAACTCTACATCCCTGCAGCATCTGCTGTCCAACCAGAAGCACCTAGTTTTCAGCACTGTGGTAGGTAGGGCAGTTTGCCTGGCCAGGCTGCTTTCCTCTGATCCATTGCTGCCTCTCTTTCAGCAAAGGCGCGTTTTTAAATTCTCCATCACCCGCTCAGTAACCTCTACAACATAGCCTGTGCAGGCAAAGTGATGTCAAACATTTAATCCCCCTTAAATCCCACACAAAACCATACAAAAATCTGCTTTAATGACAAAGGTCTCTAAATTAATCTTGCTTTCTATATACGTGTGTATCTGCTCAAAATCATCTTCTGCACAGATCAAGCTCTTTTGTTAACTGGCTACATTGCCCTGTCTTCCCAGCCATTAACATCAATTCTGGCTCCATCAGCTGCCAGCATTTTATCTGTACACACACGCACTTCCTTCTGAACAGAATAATATCACAGTACAAGCCCAAACTAAAACTGAACTCCTGTTTTGATATTCCCCAATACCAGAAAATATTATTTCCCCCCTCTCCTTTTACTTCTTCTTTTTACTAAGCTCTGCAGCAGTTTAATTCACCCTAATTTTACAAGGTATGTGCATGTCTAAGATCCAGTATCTTTCCACCAACCCTGATTCTATCTTTATTTCATTTAGCCTGCCCTACCTGTTCAACAGAAGGTTGAATTGCAAAACATTTTATTAACAAAATGTTGCTTAAGCAATAACTTGTACATGGCAGCTGGAAATGATGGTAATATTTCTTAGGGGCATAAAACTGGACAATACTGGGGACACATCTTCTTAGCTAACATGGTCAAATTTATCCTCTTCAAGCCATCAGCAAGTTCAGTTGTTACTAGAAGCGATGGCATACATTTCTTTTTCTTTCTCTAAAAATCAGATATTTGAGACTGAAAATTTAGGAACTGGAAATACCTCACCCTATCTAACAGCTGGAGGAGTAATCTGGGTCTCCTAACAGGAGGCATCTTCCTAAGTAAAACAAACCCAGGAATAAAACCAAGCCCAACACCGTGTCTGCTGAGACAATGAGCACCCACACACCCTGGGACAATAATCCTGTCAGGCGGGCATCTGCCTCCTCAGAAGCTCCCTGAGATGTCCAACCGACTTCACCTGGGCCAAAAAATAATTCTCAGGTGTGGGTAATTTCCAGGTGGAAGTTACCAATGGACAGCTAATTCCCACTGTTAGATGAATTTGGTCTGAGATCAAAGGCTCCCAACCCTACTATCCACCTCATTCAGCTGGTTTATAGCTTAATCCTTTCTTCTTCAGCAAACTTAGGGAGGACCATTTGCAGCCTGGCCCAGGGACAGTCAGAGAGTGCTTCTGGTGTATTCCCAGGGTGGAGTTTCCAGACATGGTAAACATGAACTGCACTTAATAAAACCTGTAGTAGGTTCCATTAATGTGCATTATCATTTGGGTGGGAAAAGGCAAATAAAACAATAACTGTAATGAGAATTTTTTCCAGGAGGAGATAAATACAAGTTCCTGAGCCAGTCTGGTCAAGTTCCTTGCTATTACCCAGCCTACATATATCCAAGTATTAGCCCACTGATTAAATTACATGTAAGAAAAAATTCAAGAGCCTTTGGATCCTCTCCTTTCCCCACCCAAGCACAGGCCCAAGAGTAGCAGCAAATGAAATAAAAAGCAAATTACACTGAAGGCTCTGTGATAAATATGTTATGACATTTCTGCATGTCTGGCTACCTGCGTATCCATCAGAGTTAACTAATTTCCAACTGTTTTCCTCAGCTATAAAAACATTTATACCCTGTCTTCCCTGCTAATTCTAGTTCCCATTTTTTTCCAGATACTGTGGAGAAAGCTGTGTTTTGGATGCTAATATAATCCCTAGATGAAAACACTGGCTGTTATCCCCACTAAGCAGGAGACACGGAATGGGGAGAGAGAGGATGATCTGGGGGCTGAGGTTTATCCCCCAAGAGCTCTGTTGGGGATGGTGGTTACATCATGTCATGCTAATGTAGAAATGTGATGATTTGGTGTGCTGACATCAAGGAACTCAAAGGAGTCCATCAGAAATAAATAAGTAAAAATTGTTTATGGATTTATTTTCCAGCTGGAAAAAGGAGCTCAGAAGCGCTGCTCCAGAGATCTGGCTTTGCAAAATGACTGGCTTGTCCCCGGCCAAGCTGCACATGGATGTCCCTGCCCCCAAGAGAGGGGAGTCTTTAACAGAGACACAGGAAATCAGAGCTGTTTTCATTGAGCTGTCAGCACCCTGCTGCTTTATTACTCTTGGCTGGAGCAGCAACTTTACCATGAAGCTGTGCTGCTGAAAAGACTGCTCCATGGGGGATTCCCAAAACATGCTGAATGCTCCTTTGACTATCCCTACTAAAATCAGTTTAAATTCAACTAACTAACTAACTAACTAAATAAATAAAATGAGAAATGGCTGCATGCATTGACATTCCACCACCGTCACCCATCTAATGTCATAAATATACCTTGGGAGGCCTTGCCTAAGCACACTGAAAATCTAAGCACGACTTCTCTGTTCTCCAGGAACAGTCTAGCCCACACACATGGAGGGGTGCCTCTCCTGCAGAGGGGAATCAGAAACACTTCCACTGATGGGCATAAATATCAGTGAAGGCAAACCCACAGCAACAGGATTTCTTCATGCTGGACCTGTTTTCATTTCCTCTGGGGAAGGGAGTATTATATACAGCAGATTATACCACCACTATAAATTACCATTAAGAAAACACATTAATCTCCTAAGTATTTGTCAGTAATAAATTCCAAAAAGATCCCTCTTTGGAGAAGAATAAAAACAAGATAATACACTTTGCTTATATTGGGCAAGTTGCTGATCAGTTTTTGCCTTTAGACACAGAGCAGTGTCTCTTTGCTATTAGTAAAATTATTTCTTTAAAATAATCTATAAACTACTCAAAGTTTACCATGCTTATCTTCCTGGGACAAAACCTGGCACATGGTAACAGTGTATCAGCTCATCGAACAGTTTGCAAACAAGCAAGCAAGGAAATGAAGCAAAGGTGAACATACCACCTGGTTTCAGAAAATGAGATGCCTTTTAGTCAGCAAAATAAAACATTCCTTCTGGTAACTGCAATCTGGAGCTACAGACCCCTCTCCACCACAGATCACAGAGCAAAGCAGATTGACAACAGCTACTGCTGTTGTAAAAACAAGAACAGAAGAATACCAGGCATGAAGAAATGCTTCAGAGGCTTGAATTTTGCAGAAAATCTGATCTCACCTAGAGGCCATTTTAAACATATGGAGATGAAAGACCACAGCACGCTAGAACTTTTCAATCTGTAAATTAGCTGCAGTGAGAAGAGATGCAATGTGGAATGTGGAGTGTAGGTTGACATGGCAAGTATTTTTGTACTCTCCTAATCACAGAATGAAACACAAGGAAGAAAACATTAATAAGTCTCCTAAGATGCACTCACTTCTTACAAACAACCAGCAAATCACAGAAAGCAGATTAACCACATCCATGACTGAGAGTGTGAATGCAATACAGCAGCACAGGAATAGGCAGCATTTTGCTTTTCTATGGTAACAGACTCAGTGCAGAACACTCATCATTTATATCATGATGACTTACAAAATTAATGTTAGAATTAAGGACAGTTTGTCCTGCTGATATTAACAGAAATGACAAACCATGTTTCAGGAATTAAGATATCCATTCACATTTCCCAACAGGATGAAGTGGGAGGAAAGCAGAGACTGGGAATTATGATTCCAGTTTACAGATCTTGGAACACAGCAAGTGCCTTTTTTTTCTCATTACAGAACAACCAGAGTTATTTTTCACTAAGGTAAAGGGCAGTTCATTAAAAAGTAAAGGTCATCTAAACAACGTCCTGAACACAGCTGTCATGTGATGTGAGGTCCCTCAGGGTGTCCAAGAATCTAGTCACAAATAGGGCATGGGACCTGTACAAAATCTGTAGCTGTGAGAGCAAAGCTGGACAGTTTCCATTAAAATGGCCAAAGACTGGAGATCAAATTCCATTCCTGACACTTGTCCAGTTTCTTATTGTCTCTGTCCACTGCCTATTCATCCAAAGGAGTATTTTAAAACTGTAGTGTGAGATCCTCACAAGACCATAATCCACCAAAGGCAGGTATATATTTTCCCATATAAAACAGCTTCTAAATACCAGGCTTGAACAGGTGACTCTGTTTGGCATAGGGGTCTTTTCTGCTTTTCCTTCAATTTACAGAACTCAGGTTTCTCTTTACTCTGGAGCTGTGTTGGCCACACACTTTTTTTTGTACAATCAGACATTTGGTTTGAAAGAGTAACAAGAAAAACAAAGGAAAACTACACACCCCCTAACTGTTTGCATTCCCCACTTCCAGAGTCTCTAAATAAGGGATTCTTTCCCTTTCATCATTCTGCCCTGGACAAAACAATCACTGAATTAATTTCATCCCTAAATCCCTTTACTTAGCTTCTACAGCAACAACCTTGAAAGTAGAACAATCAGTTTTGCTGCCTCTGGTTAAGGAACATCTGCATATTGAGGGTGATCTCTGACAAAACAAGCAGCCACATTTTGCCCAGATTTACACTTCTCACAGCCTCAGTGGCAGAAAACTTTGCCTTTCTGCCACTTCATGCTCACCACAGGCACGGGATACAGCTACCCTACTCCTGCATGTATTTTTTTCCAGGAGCAGTTTCTAGGAGTTTGTTTCTTTATTTCTGTAGGATTAAAAATTTTTAAAAAATCATTTAGCCTCTTTCCCAAGTCGGAGAGGATCAAGAGGCCGACCCTTAAGCCTG